TTTTAAGGGATTTCCCAGGTGAGCACTCTACTCTTTCATCAAGATATGTTTTCAGAGGAAAAACTACTTAGGAAGATGGCAAACAATCCCCACTTTAGATATTCCTTAAAACCATCTCCTCAGACCCAGAGACTGAGAAACCAATACTGTGATGATGCCATTGTTACCAATACTCAGTGCTGTGAAGAATTTGCAAACAGGATGGGGTTCGTCAGGCAGGTTACAAATAAATGAAGTGTTAGGGAAAATTTAGTTCGTTATTGGCTGGCACAGAGATCCAATATCCTCTCCTTGGTTTTAGTGGTTGAGCATGAGATAGATTGATTAGGTAGACTGATTGTATTGATAACTAGTTTCTTATGGTTGAAGCGATTTCCTATATTCCCATATGTTATCGTGTTACTCACCTTTTGTTCAACTCTTACCCAAACCTATTAATTAACCTCATAACCTTTCAGGCTCCTAGGACATGATTATACAAAGAAGATATGAGTATCTCCTCTAAAGTTTATGTCCTTTAATGTGTTCTGTATGCAAGGGTTGCATCTTACACCAGAATTAAGACTCATCTGAGTCATCAGAGCTTTTCAGCTTTGTTTACATTCCCTCTATAAAAGAGGAACTCGGTTTCAGCTAGAACATGCCAGTTTACCAGTATCAGAATGGACCATTCTCAAATAAACTGCTTGCTTTTCCTAACAATAAACCTTGGAGTGATTTTTTTTTAAATTCCTCACAGATAGATCTTTGAACATGGGGAAATCATCCGACCTTTCGTTATTTCCCCCCTGACACGAAGACTCACAGTTTTTAAAAAATATACTGAAAAACATCTTGTGAAAACCAGGGTGACAGCCAGTGTGGTGCAGTAGTGCAATTGTTAGACTAGGATTCAGAAGATCTGGTTTTGAACCCCCACTCTGCTGTGAAAACTTGCTTGGTGACATTGGGCTAGTAACACTCAGCCTAATCTACATTACAGGGCTGTTGTGAAGATAAAATGGAGGAGAAAGCCACTTTGGGTCCTCAATGAAGAAAAAGGATGGGTTTACATGAAGCAAGTAAATAAATAAAACCAAGACAACCCCTCCTTTGAAACAGCAGCAGCAAATATATAAAAACTACTGGTCTGGGATATTATGAACTCTGTAGGTTAAACAATACAGGATAAAAGCTTCGAGGAAAAAAGTAATTACTGGATAAGCTCTGCAGCTTTAAAGCCAATTAATTTTCAGTTCAAACCTTGCCCACTAAAACAGGAAAGTGGATTACGTAAGGAAAAGTAGATCCTTTAGGGAACACATTTCTCAATGATTGTGAAGAACAGGTTTCAGCTTGACAATATACCACACAGTGTCAGCACATAGAAATTAGCGCAGGTAGTTTAATAACGTATCTTTATACATTGCTTAAATAATTTTCTTCAGCCTTTAAAGATCAGTAAGAAAGCACAGTTTTATTGGAGACTAGTAAGTCTCAACAAATGAAGTAGGTCTCAACAATTTTATTTTCATGTATGGAATCTACAAATAGTCTAAAATAGTGCTAAGTGAAAAATGAAATAATAATTAACTACACAGTAACAAAGACCAACCTTTGGCACAGTACTGAGCTGATATTTAATTAGAAATGTAGCATTATATCTGGCAACAATCCAACTAAAGGTACCGACTATTAAGTCTCAAAGACTTCAGTGTGCAATTTAGCATGTGTATAACTATCTTACTGAAAGTAAAGTAATGAACTTCAGCATGCTTGGCTGAATTTCATACACAAAAGGAAAACACTAGTCAAAACAATTCATCTTCTTGATAACTTCCACTGTCAAACTCTGTCATCTACTTTCTTCACTTAAAATTCTCTGTTTTCAGTCAAACATTCCCATAGCTCTCTCCATTCTTTTCCTCCAAACTGTTCAATGGGTTACAAACAACAGAAAACAAATTCACAACCAAACTTCAAGATAATACCTTACGGGGATTCTCACAGGATATAGGCCTTCACAGAAGAAACCAGTTCCATATAGCCATTATAAAACCAGTGAAATAATTATTTCATTATAACTTTTGACACTCTCTTTCATATTGAAGGTTTACACTGCTTTGACAAGTATTGGGATATTTCACAATAATAAAAACAATTACTAGAATCAACTAAAACAAAAAGCTGTTTTTGTTCTATATTAGCCTACTACAGAGGTACAACTCTAGGCATGCAGGTTTGCACTTCAGATTTCAGGACATTTGCCGGGCAATCCATTTTCACTTTGCAGAGGACTTGCAATTGCTGCAAACCTTTGCCTCAGAGTCTCCTGTTTCAACTTCAAGTGGTTTTCTACAGAAAGAGCTTCTTTCAGGATTCCTTCAAGCTCCTCTACATAAGAAGCATCCATTGCTGCTCTCTCACTGTATTTACCCACCAAAGAAAGAAAGAAAAGGCTACAGTGAAAACGGATATCCAAATTTCTGGTTACACCTATTTACAAACATTTCTACAATACTGAAGTGGTTCTTTAAAATAACATTAAGCAACATGTTTTCTTAATGCTGAAGAAGAATGTAATACTCACAAGAAACTTGGCTCATGGGAGAAATAATTTTGCTGCCTACGTAATGCCCAGAGCAGCACTAATGTTTAGGATCACTAGGCTTTTTAAAAGGTGTTTTATTCTGAACATACCGCATAAAATGATGGTGTTGGTCACTTCAATTATTACATTATCAATTAAAACCACTGACAGTGACAGAACTTATGACTCCCATCAATTAGATCCTATACCAGGGGTCCCCAACTTTTTGGAGCCTGCAGGCACATTTGGAATTCTGATACGGCATAATGGGTGCAGCCACAAAATAGCTGCCGTAAAATGTCTGCTGCAGGAGGTGGAGCCAGCCACAAATTGATTGCGGCAGCTTAACCAGATTGGCCTCTACCAGGGCGAGGGCCTTCTCAGTGGCAGCTCCACACTGGTGGAATGAGCTCCCGAAGGACATCAGGGCCCTGCGGGACCTTTTACAGTTCCGCAGGGCCTGTAAAACGGAGCTCTTCCACCAGGTCTTCGACTAGGAGCAACCACTAATAACATCAATTATATTAGTAACATCAACTAACATTAACTGAACTGAATACGAACTAAATATGCCGGATGCCGATGGGGGCAACTTTTTGGGAACACCTATCATGGCCACCGGGTTGTTATTGTCACCAGCACTTTATTGTCATTTTATTCAACTTTATTGTTGAGCTATGCTTGTCATGTTTGTGTTTTAATGTGGTTTTAACCCTTAATGTAAGCCACCCTGAGCCTGCCTGTGGCGGGGAGGGCGGGATAAAAATTGAATAAAATAAAATAAATAAACTTCAGTAACACAGTGTAGATCCTTGTGCTGCAGTGGTTGCTGATGCCAGAGTAACATTTAGAAAAATCTGCACAGCCAATCAAATCTCCAGTGGTCAATCAGAAGCCTGGTTGGGGCCCACTTTCTAAAACCACTCGGCAGGTGCCAGAAAAGGTGCCAACAGGTGCCATGGAGCCCACACCCTGTCCTACACAACTGAAGAATTCAGATTCTGAAACAACTCTGCTGGCATAAATCTCCAATACAGCAGTTGTTCCGCTTAAAGGTATTGCAACACACTAAGAAACGGGCCTGGCGGGAGATGATCTATGGGGTCGCGAAGAGTCGGACTCGATTGAACAACAACAAGAAACGAGTAGTTACCTCTTCTGCATTTTACATGGAATCCTACCTCTACGATATTTATAAAATATCAGTTTGGTTTACTTGCCTTAGCATAAGGGCATATTTTGATATCAGGACACTGATTTCTTTGCTTGTATCTGTCAATATAAACATGCGCTTTGATTAATAATGGATGTAAATGTTGATTTTTACATGAAATGTATGAATGGTTGCTATATTTTTCATACATCACCATTTAA